GCTCCTTTGACACTATTACTTTGAGTTTTTAGACATGCAATTATAATTGTATTAGGATTCATTTGGAAATATCATTAAAATGATTGAAAGTACTTTTGGCAAAATTATTTTTGGATTCCAAAATCACTTTAAATATTTTTCATGATTCCTTTTCATTTTTACTGATGATTGATTTTTAAAATACTTTCACTAACAACGCTTTTATTTATTTTGAAAAACATTTTCCAAAGAGTCCTTAGACAACATAGTATTATTCTCTTTATGCACGAATCTAAATTATATTGAAGGAAACTTTGAGGAGCTATCAATTAGCCGAGTCATGCTACAGAGCCAAAATAAAACCTTACGTATAATGAGGGAGACTCTCAAAGTCGCCATCATCAATTGTGTACTTGTAAACTTTGAAATTAACATCAATAATAAAGTCCACTTTCTAGAATATTGAAGAAGTTTAGGTTGACATTTTCTATTAAGAAACTAACGTCCTGTATGATTTTCTCTATTTCTTTAGTTAAAAAGAGAAGCAAAATATTTACTATTTAGTATAATAAGAAAAAATGGAAATAAGGAAGGAATGAGAGAGAGTAGGGTAAAATACTATATATAGTATTAAAAATTAAAACTATAAACTAAGATCTAAAATATTATATAGTCAGGGACACGTACTTGCATGCGATGAGTAGTGTTATTTACATACTTCATTTTATATGCTACACACTGTTATTAATTTTTGTTCATTGATTTTCTTCAATTCATTAAATTTAAAGGTTGAAAATTTAGAACATGTGTGAAAAGTAAAAATAAATGTGGAGCACCACCCTTATTAGATAACATTAAAAAGTTAATGATAGTCCAATGGTCCCATTAACAAATTGACATTGTCGTCCCCGAGTGAGGATTCTCGCCGAATCCTCTTTGTGAGGATTCCATCCGTTCATCGTACATTATACAGTTAGAAATCATTGTAAATTTTTTTATTTAAAATTGAATATAAACAGTACCTGACGAAAATTGATCACACTATATATAATGAAATAATGTAATTAGAAGATTCCTAAAATCCTCATAAAAAGAACCCGACGAGGATCCTCTCTCGTCGTCCCATCCTCTCTCTTGACTTTTAAAGTCTTCAAATCAATTATTATTAACAAAGTACCTTCGCACATAAAGCGTGCAAAAGATAAGATGTCCTAGTTCAAATTGAAGAATCCGGATCCTCGTGGGATCTTTTTTGTGATAATTTCGAAGATCTGTGAATTATTTATTGTACAACATACGGTTAAAAATCATTTTAAATATTTTTATTTAAAATTAAATACAAACAGTACCTGATAAAAAACTGATCACACAATCTAAAATGAGCAGACATAATTTACAAATTCTCTTGATTCCCACCAAAAGGATCCGGACAGGATCCTCCCGGCAAATTGAAAATGTAATTACTATTTAATTCCGTAATTTGTTTCCTTGTCATTGGATTGTGAACATGATAGTCAAGCTTGATTTATTTTAAGTAATAAGAAAAGAGAAATGATAAGGATATAAAAGTTTTTCTTCCTATATTTTTCTTTTTATTTTTAATGAATAACTTGAACGAAATCGAGGAACAAAATTAAACGATAGTAATGCTAGGGAAATTAAGTTTTTAGACAAAATTTTATAAACTAAATGACATAAAAGTTGATGATTAGATTATTACTGAAGTTTATAAATGTGTTCATTTCTATTGGTGACACATCATTTAATTTGTAAATTTTGTCTTCCTAATATTACCCATTGAACAATGATTTGGACTCATATGTAGTTTTATTTCTCTAAAACAACCAATGGCATCATTTGAGAGCTGAGAGCCCTTCCAAAAACATAATTTACTTCCAAAAACATAATTTATGTATTAAGTAGAAGTTTAAAGATTGAAATCATGGAAAGTTGTTTATCCATTTGATTGTCTGGTTGTAGTGGGGTTACACAGAGTAGAGCGTGAATCGACATGGTCGTATATTCTAGGTTTTATCAATTTTAGCATGAGTGACATTTTCTTTTACAAGGGCAAGTTTCACATTCGAATATAAGGGGAGGACATCCGCTTAAATCAAAGTTTTTGTGCCCACTTCTATTAGGTTTTCATATTTAATGTCACTACTTTTTAGTTAGGTTTTTTTTGGCTAAAATAATTTTTGAGATTGACATAACTCTTCAATATGATCCGTGACATTAACAATCGACATAATTGGTCCTTGATTTTGTGTATGGTAAATCATTTTTTATCCTTCAGTGAAAAATTTGTACATATATATCCTCGTTAAGTGTTAGGGTTGGTTTGACAAAATTACTATTGAAAAGGTGGTCACATGGTCGTTCACGTGACAATTTAACGAGGATATTGACAGACTTTTCACGGAATAACCAAAATGATTTATTGTGAATAAACTCATGAATCACTTCTATCAAATTTTTTTATCAAATACCAAAGTGAGAAGTTATGCTAATTTCATACACAATTTTAGCTAAAAAAAGAACCTTTTAGTTATATGTTAATGTATATGCCTGTCAACATGTTCTTTTGTTTTGCTTTTCTTAACCCCATTTACTTTGGACAAGTTGTGTTGCCCCTATTTTTGGTTGGCTTTTTCTCTCCTTCTTGGTTTTATCTCTGTGTTATTTCTTTCCCATTGACCTAAAGCTAGAGAACAACTTGTGATAGTGTGTGAACCCACCCCGGCGCCCACCCCAAACACACCACCCCCCCCCCCCCCCCCCCCCCCCCCCCCAAAACCCCAACCTCAAAACAAAAAACCCTAAAAACAAAGTGACCTACTAGAAGAAACCTTATCCAAGAGAAGTTTTATGAGTGATTTGAAGCATTCAAAACCTCTGGATAACCTTCTATATGAAACTAGCTACCACAAAATGCATTTGTCCTTTGTATTGAAATGGCAAGAGTCATGCCTCTAGTGTAAAACCACCCTCGTCAAGCCCACATATTAAGAAAAAGACAAGTCTAGTTTATATCCTTTTTCTTTATCGGGACAAAAAATGTCTTTCCTTTTGGTGTTTTTGTCAACGGAAGAGTACTCCATTAAACAAGGTTCTAGAAAGATAATACATGATTTGAATTTTTTGTCAATGGAAGAGTACTTCATTGAACAAAGTTCTAGAAAGATAATGCACGATTTTTCAAAACATGAAGGGCACGCTTGATGCATAGGATTGGTTTGGCTTGAACTAATTGTAAGGATTGGCTTGGATTGGTCTAACTTGCATTGGGTGTGTGTTCTAGTTAGGCTCCTCGTCTTGTAGAGAAGATATAATCTCAACTTATTCAGTTGTTAATTTATTCGATGTTTAGTCTATATTAAAATTGATGTTGAATATTCTAATTTAGTCCTAAACCGGTCATACAAACACTCCGAAATATCTTTCCTTAATGCATGATATTTGTGCATGCATGCTAGCGTTCGTAGAGTAGTCTCATGTTCCCAACATCTTAAACCCTGAATATTATGGTTTATGAATCACTTCCTTCCCTATGCATGTTGCCATTTCAACACTTTAATTAAGCATATCTAAGTTGTGAAAAGAATTGAAACCAAACAAATCGATTCATTAAATTGTAAATTGTTCGTGATACACGATTCACGAACAAGTCGGCGAGTCGGTGACATGTCGGCTAGGATTGAATTTTATAAAGCAATTGTTTATACGTACTTCGTTACCGATGCATGATCCATGCGTGCTAGGATATTATAAACAAGTCAAACTTAGAAAAAGGCTTTCTGCCTTGTGAGAAAATGAAGGGGGAGAATGAAATTCTTTATCCAACTTGTGTGTTGATATCATGTATAATTTTAGTTCACTTGATTGATTTCATCCAAAGTCTAAAACTTTCGATCTCATAATTCCATGATGTTTAGCAAAATACTAATATATATAATATATTATATATAAATTAGCTCATTCAGAAGACATGGGGAAATTTTCAATTCAAGTCCTCACCAGGTACAAACCACAAATACAACTAATATTAGCTAATTCAAGTCACAGGTTTCTGGTGCAAATGTGTTTGGGCTCTTTGGATATGTTTGTGTGGGATGCCATAATGGCACCAAACTCTTCTAGTGAATGACTATCAGTATATTTCAAATTAAAATGTCCTCATTATTATTATTTTTTTTTTATGTAAGAGATATCCTACCACACATCGATGACGGATTATTTATTTTTATCCTCTTTATGCAATTCCAGTACAATATGAGGCAACAACAAATTTATGGCCTTCTGGTCAAATCTTAAATGGTTCGCAAAAAGTAAAGATAGTTGCCTCAAAATATACGTTTGTTAGAATTCAAACTTAAATTGGGAGTTCCAAACCATTGTTGGAGTTTTATTAGACCGATCCCTTAGGATTAATCCCCACATCTTATTGTAAAGAAAATGAACCTATCATTTCTGCGTAGCCAAAATGAAATATCATATTTTCATAACCCTAACATGTTGATATATGTGTCCAGAAAAAAAGTTGGGATTGGAGCTTAAAGTATATTGAAAATAGAAGAGAATGATTTTTTGTTAGATCCCACATCGTTCAGGGGAAAGGATCTTCTATGTCTTATATGTACATGCTCACCTCTATATAGCACGAGGTCTTTGGGAGCTCACTAGTTTCAGGTTCCGTAGGAACTCCGAAGTTAAGCAAGAATAGGCCACAGCATTCCTAAGATGGGTGACCCACTAGGAAGTTCTGCTCGAGTGAGTTTCCAAAAACAAAACTGTGATGGCATGGTCGGAGCCCAAAGCAGACAATATCGTGCTACAACGGAGTCAAGCCTGGGATGTGGTGAAGCCCGGATCGGGATGTGACATTTTTTATTTTGAAGGGATCAAAAGGAGTTAGACATGAATTCTTCTCCCTTCAAATCGTACTAAATTTTCTTTTCGAGTAATCCATTTCCTAACTTCAAGTTGGCCATAATTTTTTTTCATTTATTCCTTTAATCACATGTTGAAAATAGTAATTTGTCCATTCCAATCGAATCATCCATACGAAACAAGGCCGGGATTTCGACACAAATTCATAATAAAAATTCATGACCAGCCTATATATTACATTGTGAATCGTTAAACAACCAGAGTAACGCGAATCTTAGAACTCCCATGATCATAACTATACAAAATACATTCTTCAAGCAATGATCATTGCATTAGTGGAGAAATATAACATGCAAACCCGTTGAATTAAGTAACTAATCAGATCCATCTTCATCAGATGTAACCTCCGAGCCCTCTTCCTCTTCATCATCTTCGTCGATCTTCAAGGCTTCATTAGCAGTCATCTTTGATAGTGCTGCGGTCTTGCTTGCTCTCTGTGAGCGAGCGCTTATTGTGCCAAGATTATTAGCGACAACGGAGGTGGGTGAGCTATCTTCATCATCGGAAGATGACTCTTCAAGTGTCACTCGTTTTCTAGAACGGGTTGGCTTAGTGGAGCGAGGAGCTGGGGTCTGCGGCATTTCAACAGAAACATTGAAATCCAAGTTGAAGCCTAGTTCTAACTTACCTGCACAATATATATATAAGCAGAAGAATGAGTGATTGTAATCATAAACGAGCTCACATACAGCAAACATACACGAAAACTACTTAAAATGATTGCAGTCCCATAGGTAATTTGTCAGTGAAACAACCCCTAGTAAGGCAAATCAATTTAATGAATGAATAAATCCTTTCGATGGTAGTCCTAATAGCATGTTAAGGATTTTACCAAATATAAGATTAGCTTGATCTTTCGACATTTCCTGATCTGGATACCTATCTTGTGCCTTGAGATGGTCAGCCATTTGCCTTAACTCTTTGAGAAGATCCTTCTCTGCTGATGCAGATTCTACCACACGAATTAAAAGCCTCCTCATTAACTGGATTGCCTCTTGCTCTGATAACCGGAAATGGAGCATGACAAGTACTCTGCATAATGCTGACACATATGCCTTCTCTGCAGGTGTCTTCTTTGAACGGAAAGTAGCAACCTACATAAAGAAGATATCCATAACTAAGATCATAATCACAGCTTCAGAGTATGGCATAAAGACCAATCTCTTGCAAGTTGAAATATTAACTTATAGCTGTGGCCCGACTTAACAAATAACCATTTAGTAATTTAATACTACAGTTACCTCTGCAGCTATGCGTATGGCAAGCCCCTCCTCACCATACTCCAGTGGAGGTTCTTCTATCACTTCTGGAAGTTCCCCGGTATCATTTTGTTCCTCTGCCCTATTTTTATATAAGGGAGCCTGCATGATGTGCAGCATAAAACGTGATACTTGGACTGCACGCTTACGCATATTAGAAACCACGGAAGCAGAACCTCCAGCAGTGCCATTGATACCCGGCCACATAGAACGCATGACTGGAATGAAAGCCTTGGCTATACACTTCTGCATCAAATAACCACAAGATTTCAGGCTACTGGCATCATCTATTGATATACTAGAGGCACCTCATGTTAGACAAATAAGCACTACTTGCCTTGTGATTAGCTGCAAGGGAAGGGTAATTCTCAAAGAACACAGATAAGCACTGTTTCAACCTGGTGAAAGGTTTTGTATTAAATTGGAATAAGTTGGTTTTCTCCAAATTTGAGTTGGGATGATTTCACTTGTAAAAAAGGATACAGAAATAAATAAGGCACAAACACTACCTCTGCAAGTTTTTAGATTCGTTGCTGAAGTACAGGGTAATGAGCTTCGATAAAAGCAAAGGACATAAAGAAGCAGGCATGCCTTGGTAGTTCTCACTTAGAAGAAGAATTTTTGCAAACCCCTCACCAAGAGCGGAATGAACAGATTCATTTTCATCACTTGCTAGAGAATTGTCCCAATCATCTTTCATAATTCCAGCGTACAAAAGATCAAGCAACTTAATGTTCGATATCCCATCTGTATCAGAAAGGTTTAAAGGACTAGAAGTTATATCATACTCTTGAACTTTTGTCGAAATGTCCAGGCCTGTCACCCTATCAACTTCCTGAGGATTATGCCACATTCCAAGATCAAATAATGCCTTGCAAGCAACTATGCTAATTGGAGCTGGTCCCTTAATAAATGAAAGCTTTAACTGCTTTACTAGTTCCTGGCTTGGCTTTTTATCTAACAATCCAAAAAGCCCAAGACACCTGGCTGCAATCCTTTGGACTTCCAAGTGAGAATGTTTTGCCTGCAAGTCACAATCAAGAAAAGTTGTAAACTCCTCAAAAATAAAAAAAGAGAGGTGTTTTACAATGTTGTGTGGACAATTAGAAATGTATAAAGAAACCTTATCATACATGGAAAAAAATGTTGAGTGCACCAATTATTAAGCGCCTTTCATTTACCTTAAAATCGCTTTACAGTAAAAAGATGAAATATATTACATTTTAATAATTATCCCCCTATGCTATCTCTTAAGTTAGAGGTTAGGCAAATCAAAGCACTGACACTCGTTCCCAAGTTTTTCTAAATTTAAAGTAAATACATGAAATAAGTTATTACCGCTGGAAGCAATAACGATTGCAGTAGTTCAGTAGGCTCAATAGCTTTCCCTTGAATCCAATGATATGACCTTGCCTTCTCCAAGCAAAGGCCGAAAACAGCAAGGCAGTGCATCCACTGCAGAAAATCCGCTGTTCTTTCCCTGCAAGGACGAGCAAGTTCCTCTACAACGCCAAGAACAACTTCTTCAAACTCACCACTAGCAGCATGCACCTTGCTTGCTAATCCAAACACAGCTTCAGCCCAATCTCTATCACCACCAAGATTTATTCCATCTCCAATAACAACCATGTTTCCATACTCATCAACTTCATGGTCAAAAGGCTTATTCAGCAATTCCAGCACAAACGTACTAGCAACCTTCCTGTTTGTAACATCGGAAAAATCAAGCATTGCACCAAGCAATAGTAGCTGCCGACATGCAAAGCGATAATTTGGTCCTGATTAAGAAATATAAAGTTAGGTTTTATAGTTGGATATAATTCAATGTTCTTAACCAAATGAAACTTACACTCACCAGCAACAATGTGAGCTTTGACTAAATCTATATAATCAGAAATTGTTGCTGGCAGAATTTTCTCAAGAAGGTCACTGGTGTCTGAAGCTTCCGCTGCATATACTGTTGCTTCAGTGCCCGTTGTAGAAGCAGCATCAGAGCCTTTTGCCTGTTCAACCACAATATCTGAGCTTTAAAAATGAGGTGCAAATTTGTTCAGTTTATGTAACTTAAGAACAATATACCATTGGAATAGATGCCCTGTTATAGCATTCCAGACATGGTTTACATATTTTGCCTTTTCCACACCCACTGGCCACTATCTCTCAAATTTTCATATGCCTTTCGACAATTACAAAGTAAATCGGTATAAACGTACTTGTGCTTCCATCTGCAGGTGCCTACATATCATCCTCCAATAAAGAGCAACCTCCGCTTCCATTAGTTGAATGCTTGGAGTGCAACGTGTTGAATCACCTAATTACGAATTGGAAGCATGAGCAATGAGACAGACTAATATACACACTTTAATACACACACACACAGAGAGAGTTCCATATCGGAGAGTAGCATATTGAATTGCCATCAGGATGGTCAAACAAGTGGGATCATAACTAAATGTATGATCCTCATGTGAACTGAATCTAGTCATGATGACATGTTCAAAAGATGTTAAGTTCTTTAATTCGATTTATTCAGTTGTACTTTTGAAGAAGTCTACCCAAATATACATTTTTCCAGTCATGCGTGTGCATGTTTTCTCTTCATTGTAAACTGCCAGACCTTGAGTTTCTATGAACTATCCCAAATATATGGTCAAGTTTGTTCCAACAAGTTGGATTTGGAAAATAAAATAAAATGCAATGCACACATGCAAGTAATAAAAAAGAGGTTCAGAATACTATCACACCTTCAATTCTCTCATTCGTAGATGATATGTAGTGCCGAATACTTTCACCATCGTGTAATTTAATCAAACCAGCTTTTAACAGTGCACAAACCACAGACTCCCCAACCAATTCATAGGTCTCAACATCAAGATACTTGAGTAGCTCTAAAGGGTCTCCTTTGCAACAATTATTTAACCATTCATCTTTCATTAACTTAAGACACTCATTTGAAACAGCAACAGAACGATCAGCAAGTCCCCTCTGAAGAATTAATGTTCTATGCTTGATACTACAAAAGCAGAAAAAGAAAGTGAGAAAATAAAACAAAAGACAACACCCCAAAAATTAATGTACTTTAAGAATACGCCAGCTAACAATAACAGCTGAGGAGGTTTACTATATATAAAACTAGTAGCTCACATATGATGAGACACTGGTAAACACCACGGTTTACAGAACAAATGACCCAAATATGATCATCAAACAAATAATGTGAAGTCAAAAGATTCTCCCACTTTGCAAGTTTTATGCCCCTTCATTTTAAAATTCAAATCTGTTTAATTCTACATTAACAAATTTTTGTGACCACCCCTTGGATTTTCATCAGATGTTGTAATACTGCTGCAGGAGATCAAAGGGGGCAAAATTGGAATTGCACCATAAATTACCTCAGACTTTGAAGAGGAAATTTACTAGCTAGAACATGGTATGCTGCTTTGCGCACTGATTCACTGACATCTAATGTACAACCAATGATTGCTTGTGCAGTTGCATTTGAAGGAGGCAAAGATAACACTATTGCCTTCCGAACCTCCTGCAAAAATGCCAAAGTCAGATACCAACGGATTTGTGCAAATATTTGAATCATAGTATTTCCTTTGGTGAATAGTACTATTGCAAGCTATACCATTGAAAAGATTAAACAAACTTTTGAGTATACCTATAATATACTGAAAGGTTTCTGGACAAGACAAAAGTGTATTATATGGAAATGATGTTGATAAGGCCTCTGTCGGTAGTATACCTTGTTTGACATAGAGATTAGTGTTTATCGAATTGTGTGCATATAATAAAAGAGAGGCACTCACCACAGTTTGTTCTACAGGAAGCATCTCAAGAAATAAATCAAGGATATCACTGTTCTCGCAATCAGTTGCAAAACGTGAAAGAGCTCTAACTGCACATGTACGGATTACAGGGACCTTGTCCCCCGCACACAACTTCATACAATCTATTACTTCATCCCAGAGATCACTGCTCACTTCTGCATCATCTGGTAATTGCACGATGATCTGCAAGAACAAAAAATTATGTCAATTGTCAAGCCACAGGCAAGAGAAAAATGTTGCGAAGTATGAAATTCATACAATCTATGAACTTAAAATCAGTGAACACGAAAAATCGGGGGGAGGCCAACAGTATTACAGTGAAGCCCCTGCCAAGAATGAGTGACGCTAATAAATTATCACCATATAAGTTCAGTGCAATATCTTAGAGTAGATACATCATATGCTACTTAACTCAATTTTAAGGTGCAATTAGCTCAAAAGTAAAACCTCGAATAAAATAGCTATAATAAAACCATGACGAAAATAGCTCTAACAATTTATGCTACCTTCAGATGAAAGTTCATCAATTTGAAAACTGTACGGCAGCTTTTGGAGAAATAATTCATGAGTTACATATAAAGCATCCCTAAACCCTAAATCTATCACAAACCAAGATTAATACCTTCTTCAAATCTCATGACCTTCGAAATTATACCCATCCTCAAAATCATGGACATTCAAATCCCAAAAGTAACAAAGCCCTAAAACCTTAAATCCCAATTGCCTCTCAATTTCCCAAATTCAGTAACCAAACTAAAAACCCTACCTCAGAAACAATCTGGCAGGCTCGGGACCTCGAAGTCTTTTTAGCGGCGTAGGACGCCGGTAAAAGGAACCTGAGGAAGTCGTTCAAGAAAGCGTCGGATTGGGAGACATTGCCGGAGTCTCGGGCAGTTGCAAAGGCGGAGATGAACCGGACAATGCGTTCGGCGGAGGCAGTACGCCTCTGGAAGGAGAAGAGGGGAAGTAGAGTTTTGCAGAATGCAGAGAAGAAGAGGGAGGAGGACGACGTTTTTGAGCGGAGGGCAGAGAGCTCCTTGAGCTTGCGGTTGTGGCTGGCGTTGGAAGTCCGAGCGTCGTCGAAGATTTGAGCGATTTTGAGCATCAAGGGCTTCTTGTCTTCCGCCGTCGGTTCCGCCATGGCTCTCTGTGACTGCGAGTCGGTCGATCTCAGCCTCTGAGGAAATGAAATGGATCTGACGATTATTTGGCACGTCACTCAAAGAATGATTGCTCTTTTTGAATTCGAGCGGGAGCCTCTGTTTATTTGAAAGAGAACGGAAAAGTCAAGACAATACCAAGCCCAAGCCCAAGACCATGCCCAAGTTATTAGTTGTTGAAGGCTGAAACCCAATGGTCCAGTGCCTTCAGATTCAACTCAAATCCCAATAGAAGGAGCCCTATTTTATATATGGGCTTAGAGAACATTAAAATAAAAAAATTGTCTCGGCTCTAGATTCATCTTCTCCTCCTGAGTAACACCTAACGAATTTTAGAACATTACTCGTACTCATATCTTAAATATTCCTAATATTAGGATAGTCAATTGAGCATTGATGATTTGTAAAGATCAAGATATATTATGTCATCCAGTTTGAGAAAGTGATGGTCTCAAGTCAATACTGCAAAGGCATCAAGTATGTAAGTGCTCAATAGAGAGTGAATTCACTAAACGCGATCAAACACAAAGCTTGGTAGCTCGAACTTGTAACTAAGTGAGGTGTTAAATTGATTGATTGTATGAGGCCATTGAGTTTGGTACTAGACCTATAGAGCACACCCTACCCGCACTGGGTAGGTAGCTAATAAACATTTGATACTGAACGCGATCAAACAAGTGTTCTCATATAGAAGTTTTTATTACGGGGAAAGTTTATAGACACAATATTGCAATTAGTTTTTGGACCTGACGCACCATGGTTAGTTGGTGCAGAATCAGGTTGTGAACTAAATTCACCAAGTTAAGCATCAGATTGCACGTCATAGCTTGTGAGTCCGAGGTCTCTTCTTTGGTATGAACTAATCATGGCTTATGGATTGTATTTCTAACGATTATGTAGTTGTTGAATGTTGAGTGATTTATTTTGGTAAGTGTAACTCTTTTTTGTTGTTTTTTCTAGAGCCCACATTCTCTTTTATATACTCTGTCTTTAATAATGTTTACGTTTAAACAGTTGTAAGGTTTTGGGCCGTAAACCATAAACCCATTCTAATTATTATTCAAAAATTGAGTCTCGCTTGATTATAAGCTAAAATGCTTAATATTGTCATTCAAATGAACAAGTGACCGAACGAGCGATGGAGCTAGTAATCGTAAATAACACTCTTTCATTAGTAATATATTCATCATGTGATCAAAGAATATAGAGAAAAAGGAGCTATCATCACCAAGGTATTGCCCCACTTTGATCGGAACCCAATTTACCCAAACCTACATATCTTGAAGATTAGGAGAATCCTGGTAAGTTTGTACCGTTGTTTCTAAGATGTTTTGCTTCAAAAGGGAAATCTTGGTATATAGATTGAATGGATATAGTGGAAAATACATGACATTATTTGAGTGATTTATTTTGGTATGTGTAGCTCTTTTTTGTTGTTTGAGGTTTTTCTTATGTGGTTTTAATCATTTTTCTTTCTTTCTAATTACTCTGATTTTTTAATGTTGACATTTACAGTTGTAAGGTTTTGGATTGTAAACCATAAACCCATTTTAATTATTATACAAAACTTGAGTTTCGCTTGATTGTAAGTTAAAATACGTAACACCATCATTCAAACGAACAAGTGACCGAACAAGCGATGTAGCTAGCAACTGTAAATAACACTCTTTAATAAGTAATATACTCATCATGTGATCAAAGAATATAGAGAAAAACGAGCTATCATCACTAAGGTATTGCCCCACTTTGTTAGGAACCCAATTACCCAAACATACATATCTTGAAGATTAGGAGCATCCTAGTAAGTTGAAAATAAGATGTTTGGCTTCAAAAGGAAAATTATGGTATATAGATTGAATGGATATGGTAGCAAATACATGACATTATTTGAGTAAGAATATGTTCCATGCATGCATAGAATATTATTGCAGATTAATGGATAGACTTGTATAGGAAATGGTAACCACCCAATGAGCCTTTTTGTAACTATCAACAACCCACCAATGTCAGCAAGTATGTTTTACAAGATATATACACAAATTCAAAGCCTGCCAAATTTGGCACCAGATGCCAATTCCCATAGGCCAATAAAGAGGAACACAACAACTAGGAGGCCAGCATGTGCAGTCTCCAAGTGCATTGTCCCGCCATCCGCCAAAAACTTTGTGTGGCTACTTGCCATTGCCACTGCTAGTGCACAACAACAAGGCCTAGACCTAGGTCTGTCGAGGTCAGCTTTGTCATCCATCAACTACGCCAAAATGCACGATAAAATACTTTAGCTTAGGGCACAATGTGATTCCTTTATGCTTTGAGCAAATATAAAAAGTTTTGCATGAAAGCGAAATGGACCATAAACATATGTGTGTGAATATATATATATATATATATATATATATATATATATATATATGTGACATAAATTTTTCATACAATGTTTAACAAATATTTTTGTGTGGCAATCCCTTTGTATTGTATTTCAACGATCTAAATCGTCTATCTTCTAGGTTTTCTCTCAAATATCACGTCTACCAAAAATCACTCAAATCTGAAATCATATGACCATCAGATTAAGAGTTTAGAATTTTTTTGTAGAACCGTATTCGTTCATTGTATTCACTACAATGATTGTTTTAATAATTTTAGATTTATCTAATTTTTTTTGTTGATACCATTGCTATTACAAAGTTGCAGTTGTCAAAATGTGATCGATGTCGACGATATGGCTGTAAATATATCGTCGTTATTGTACCTGCAACTGCAATTTGAGTGGAACGTTGAAAAGATGTATATGTGTGTGTCTCTAGGAAATTGAACTGCCAAAATCACTTATCTAATTGTTAATATCTACTTTGTATTAATAGTAAACAACAAGAAAACGATTGAGACAACTCCTAATTTCAAAAAATTCGGACCGATTATTTGAGGCATTGAGCGGGTCGTACTTCTAATCTTAGCCAAAATTTGATTAGTTGACCTTATGGTTGCCTTACGTTTTAATGGTGACAAGGGTAAGGTTAGCCTCTAATAGAACGAGTGGCAAAGAGAGGGGTCTGCTACATCTGTTTTGCAACCATAAAACCCTGGCTCGTTTGGTTTGCTGATGGGATTGAACCTTAAAAATATGATTAGATTAGCATAAATTTGGAAGACAAGACTTGTAACTCATGTGTAAAAATATGTTAGATAACTCACTCTATTGTGGATTCATAACCCATTATATATAATTATGTTCATCTCATATTTTGACACAACAAACAGCGGACTGAACATAAATCTATTTTAATTGGTCACAACCTATCTCATCTAGCTCACCAAGCGCGGCCATATATATGTAATTAACTCTTGACGGCATGCCTTATTTTATTTTCATGATCCACTAGTACCATGTATATGAATTTCGGTTCATAGGTTTGTCAAAAAAAAAAAAAAAAAAAAAAAAAAAAAAAAAAAAAAAAAACGAGAAAGAGTCAGCAAGATAAATTTGAAATATAAGTAGATTAACAATAACAGAAGTCTTAGACCTGGTTTGGTACTGAGGTGATTCTGAAAAAAGCTGCTATCAAAAAAAGCTGGGAGCTGTTTTTGTGTTTGGTAAACACTCAGCTTCAGCTTTTTTTCACAGTTTTGGATGAAAAAAAGCCAAAAACAAGAAGCTGCAAAACCTAGCTTTGAAAAACCAGCTTTTTTTCACATCTGTTTTACATAAAAGTTTACCAAACACTCTAATACTGTTTTTTTTCTTTCAAAAGCACTTTTACAAAAAAGTTTACCAAACACTCTGCTGCTTTATTTCACAGCTGCTTATTCTCACAGCACAGCAGAAGCAGCTTTTTTTTAAAGCACAGCAATACCAAACCAGCCCTTACTCAATTAGGGTTTGTTCAAGTGGAGAGGTACGAAAAGAGCGTGATTAGGATTAGTTTAATTTTCTTCAATGTGATAAACAAAAAGGGAATCAAAGTCTAATGCTCCGCACGTGCGTCATCAAATGTGTAGATTTCTGACAAAAAATGAGTAAGAAATTGCAATTATGTGCCCTTTCATGATAACTTAAGAGCACCTCTTTGATTTTTGTTGATCTCCATTACAATATGATTAAGAGGTGTATTAGATTAAAGAACAATCTTGTCACTAGTTTTTAAACAAAAAATTATCATAATTATCACCTAATCAATAGTTTAGAACATGAGAAATGTCTCATCCAATACTAACATATTAACTTGTAACAGCTTCCGTTACTAATATTTTTGTATTTTATAGAGATTGTCAACGAACGACCTTTAAATTAGCAAGAAACTACCCTAAATGATGTGAGATAAACTCATAAATTCTTATTGTTTATGCGTATCAAATGTTGACTAACTAAATACAGAGAATGGTATGCTGCAACTAGACATTGCGCACACAAATTTTCTCATTTATTATTCATGAAAACCAAGTTGATATATCATGAATATACATATATAAATGTTCTCCTCGTCACCATGTGATTAAATAATACATAATCATTTATTCTTGAATTTGGTATCAAGGGTGGACAGAAACTCCCACATTATTCACAAAATAAACGAATAGAAACAATTAATACAGTTATGAGAAAACTACAAATTAATGAAAAAAACTAGAGATGCTTAAATATTCGTTTATTCATTGATTTGCCTCCTAAAACAGTTTTTAATCTCACTTTACTTCTTGAAATTGTCAAAATCGAGTCATTTCACTCTTTTTATGTTCACACTAGCAGAGATTTGACAAATTTAGAGGTTCATGGTAATGAAACTTTTATACCTCATCCACAATGGCTCATGTTTGCTAACATGCTATGAAATGTCCATGCTCTTTCATTTAACATCCCTAACAAAATTGACGAAGATGAAATGATTTAATTTTGACAGCTTTAAGAAAAAAAGTGAGACAAATCTAATTTAAAAGAGTAAAATCAGACTAAAAGGAAATTTCAGAAGGATATCACTGCATAACCCCAAAATAATATAGTCATGAAAACTACCTCAAAATAGCATCACGCAATGAAAGACGTAATCAAAAGTTTTTGCAA